GCCCAATGTTGCCGCTGCTGCTGCTGTAGCTGCTGCTGCCGCTCCTCCTGCTGCTCCTGCTGCTGCTGCTCCTCCCACCGCTGCCCATCGCCGTCGTCCACGCCGGCTACATGTATGGGGGGGTCCTGGGGGAACAACGCCTTAAGCAGCGACGGCGTCTTCAAAGGCCGCCGGCCGTTCGTCATCCGGGGGTAGACGTCCTCTAGGAAATAGTATGCGTGGCCTGTGGGGGGCGAGGGCGGTCGGGGTGACCAGCAACAACGGGGATTGTGCAAAGGTGAGGGGCTGGCGGCTTTTTGGTGGTCGACAGCTTCCAGCACTCCTAAGCCAGGCCAAGCTCCTGCCAACAGACATGGAGCGGGCTCGGTTCCATCCCCTCGGCCGTGCGGACGCCTGCGCACGGGTCCCGCTTGCATTGCGCAGCTAGCCTGCACCCCTCCCATGCCGGCGCCCCCGCCGCCTTCCCAGCCAGCAGTCCTCGCCATCGCGAACCTCGACGCGTCACGCGGCAGCGCAGGCGGCAGCCCCTCCCTGCCCGCCCCCACCTGCCACCATGCCGAGCAGGTCGACCTTGGGGCTGGAGCCCAGCATCACGCTGAACGCCAGCAGGACCCAGGGCAGGTAGGGGGCTGTGAAGTTGAAGATCCCGAGGAACGAGAGGTTGACGTACTGGTGGCGCCGCCCCCACACGTACACCTGGAAAGGGGCGCAAGCGGGGCGCCGCGCGCATGGGCGGTCAGGCGACGCTGCTATGAGGCGCCGGTTGTGGGGGCCGATAGGCGCGGCCACTGCCCGGCCGCCGCTGCGGGCGCCCATCGTTTGCTGCGCCCCAAATGCAGTGGCGGCCGCCACACTGCCCCGCCACGGCGGCTCCGCCGCCTGCCAGCATCTGCCGGCTTGCTGCTGACTGTGGACGGCATTGATGTGAAATGTGCCGCGGCCCACCATCATGAATGTGAGAGAGGAGCCCAGGAACTCGATATTCACAAAGGGCGCCAGCGCCGTCAGCAGCGTGCCGCCCAGCATCAGCATCCAAAGGAAGTCGGCGGTGCGGCCGCGGAACGAGCCTGGGAGGTGGTTGCAGCGGCGGGTGTGGGGCTGAGCGCGGGCCAGGCAGGCACGCGCCGCGACGATGAAGGTCGCGCGAGAGGCGAGGGGCGCCAGCCCCTCCGCTAGCGTGCTATGGGGCGGGGCCGCTACCCGCCGCAAAGCGATTCAAGGGGGCCGGGTGCCGCTTCGCTCCATCTGAGAAAGCGTCTGTCCATCAAATTGTGGAACACAAAGCTCCCTGTGTGTCTAAGGTTTCTTCTCACCCTCCTCCAGGCTCTTGCAGTACTTGACCAAGAAAAACATGTGGAACACGAAATCCAGGCCCAGGCTGCCGAAGAAGAAGAAGTTGGTCAGCAGCCGCCAGACCTCGCCTTTCCGGAATATTAGGTTTGTGTTATAGTACACGTTGAAAGGCGTGATAATCTGGGAGGGTTGGGAATGGCATCAGGATCGCGCAAGCGGCGGGATGAGGTGAGGTCTGCTGTTGGCTGCCAGAAGTCACGACAGCGAGAGCGTGCAGCATCGCCGCGCACAATGCCTGCGACTGGGAGAAGCGACGGGCCCGCTCATCTCGCAGCAGGAGGCGCCCGCCATGGCCGCGCCGGCGCAGCGGCCGCTCGCCGCCCCGCACCTCGAGCGCGCAGCCCGCGGTTGTGAGGAACGACAGGGTTACATAGTACCGTGTGACGATCGGCAACTGCGCGGCGGCGGTGCAGCAGATGAATACGGCGTGAGAAACGAAATCAGCGGCGTTTCCGGGGTTCCGCAACGGGGGCAGCCCTGGCGTGAGTCAGGAGTCGCCCCACTGCTCAACTGCGCATGCAGCGCTCCGGCGACGCGCATGCCGAAGCGCAACAGTGCGCACGGCTTGCCCATTGCTACATTGGATCGAGAGCAGCTCCAATGGCTCACCGACATGTACCACTCGTCGGGCGTCTGCGAGGAGCGGGCGGGACACCGGGTTAGATCGCAGGGTGGACCAGCAGCATGCAGGACGTCCCGTGCCCCCTTCCGCTCCCCTCACCATGACTACTGTATCCTGAGTATACTTTTCAGAGGGCAACTCCGGTCACCAACTCTTTTGGTTTAGTGGCAGGAAGCGTTTCGAGAGGGGCCCGCGCCCAGGGGCCCGCTGGTGGCTAGCACTGCAGTAGAAGGCCTTACAATTGTGTTACCGACAGCTGGCGATGGGAAGAGAAGGAACAAGGGGCAGGGCAGGGAAGAACCGCTGGTGGCACTGCAGGCAGCTTCCCACGATCGAGCGAGTGCACCTCGGCAGGCCTCAGGAAGGATATGGTACGTGTGATTGCGTGTGAATAACTTCAAATGCTGCTTCCACCCTCACTCCGTTGTTCGTACCGAGTTGCCGCACTCGTTTGGCGGGGTGCCCGCGAGTGAGCACCTTCATACCACGCAACGAGGCGCGTGGAGATAGAACGTTATGGCTCAGTGCCATGGCGAGCGTGGAGGCACAGGCGGCGGTACAGCGACGGCCGTGACGGCACCGGCCGAACCGCTCGCGCTGCTGCCTGCTGCCGCCGACGGCAAAGAGCCTGGCGTGCTCGCATCTGCCGTTGAAAGAGCTCCGAAGAGGCGCAAGCTCGTACATGAGGTAAGTCTGTCACAGAGACCCTTTTTATTTGCGTGTGCTGGCTAGCATCACCCAGCAGGCCGTCCTGTGTCTGGTTTGACAGCGGCCTCCGCCCGGCTCCCAACTCGCCCCGCCGATCGCGCACAGCAGAGCCCCAGAGACAAATCAGTCCGGCGGCGCAGCGGGCAGCATCGTGGCTGCAACGCCGAGGTGGAGGCGAATTGCGCTAACAGTGGCGGCGTCGGCGGCGGCGGCGACGGCGACGGCAGTGACGGTGGCGCCAGCAGCGGTGAGGATGGCGACACCTGTACGGCAGCGGCCCCTGGCACAAGCAGCTGCGCCGCAGCTTCGCGCTCCGCGCAGCCGCCTGCCGGCTGCGCACCGGCTGCGGCGCTGGCGGCGCCCGCAGCGGCGGCCAAACCCCCTCCCGCGCTCGCGCCGCGGCCGCCTGTGGCCGCAGGGCGCCTGCCACCGCACGGGGCGGCCGGGCGGGGTTCTCATGTGGATTTTTCGCAGCTGGTGAGAGTCATGGCGCTGGCCGAGCACCCCTTGACCCCAGAGCTTGCAAGTGCAGGGCTGGGCGCACCCATTGGTGGTTTCTTTGCTGAAACAGCAGCGGTGGGCGCAGCAGCGTCTTGCGGCAGCGGCGGCGTGTGCGGCAGCTACCCGGCACCCGCATGCGGCTCGGAGGGCGGCTGCGCGGCGGGTGCAGGCGCCCCATGGCAGCAGCAGCAGCAGGAGCAGGAGCAGCAGCAGCAGCAGCAGCAGCAGCAGCAGCAGCAGGCCCTGCCCTGCCGGACCGACATGTCTGGAGAGCTGCTGCTGCTCAGCCAGGAACTCAGCGGCTCCGCGAGCGCCGCCGCAGCGCGCACGGACGGCCGCGCTGCCGCTGCCGCCGCCGCCGCCGCAGCCGGCCCGGCGCCCCAACCGGGCATCACCAGCCAGCGGCGCGCCGCACCCGGGGACGCGGCGGCCGCGTCCGGCAAGCAGCGGCGCGCGGCGGGGCGGTTCATATACGGCAACTACCACAAATACTACGGCTACCGGCTGCGGGAGGGCCCGGAGGGTGCCATGGCGCACGACGGGCGGCTGCGGGTGCTGGACCCGGCCTGGTTCAGGGGGCGGAGGCTTCTTGACGTCGGCTGCAACGAGGGCGTGGTCACGCTGGCGATGGCGATGGAGTTTGGGTGCAGGTGGGCGACCCCTGCTCACCCTCTGGGCAGAGGTGGGGTGGAGTGTGGGTGTCGCGCGGCCGTCGGCGTGGGGGACGTGTGCCGCACCGCGTGCCTGGTGTCGGCCGTGCGGCTCCACTCGTGGCGTCTCACCGCCCGCCCCTCAACCCCTCCCACCATTGTATACCCAACCACCTGCACTGCCTACATGTCCATGCATACAAGTGCTTGCACACGCGCACACATACACATACACACACACACACATACACACACAAACACAAACACACACACACAAACGCACAGACATTTACACATTCACACACACACTATTGACGCCCTCTCGCCGCAGCCGCACTGACGGCGTGGACATCGACCCGGTGCTTGTGGGCAAGGCGGTCGCCAACGCGGCGCGGCTGAGGCACACGCTGCAGCAGCGCGTGCACGACGCGACGCGCCCCGGAAACAGGTGCGCGGCGCAGCGCGGCGCGACGATCCCCTCGTCCCCCTCTCGAGCCGCTCCCACGCCTCATGCCTGCCTTCCCCGTCCTCTGAGTTAAACTGACGCCCTCTCCCCCTCGCAGAGCCCCTAGCGGCCCCCGGCCACGCCGCGAAAGCGGCAAAGTCTCCAACCTGTGCTTGCCTGCCGCTTGGAGGAGGGCAGCTTCCAAGCAACCACACTCCTCGCAGCCCCTTTTGCAACCCGCCGCCCCTTCGCGCCCGCCGCGCCTGCGCCCGCGCCCGCGCCCGCGCCGCTGTCCGGCTGCCCTCCGCGCCCGCAGGCCCGAGGGCTACGACCCGGCGCTGCGCGCGCTGTCGCGCCGCCACAAGGCGCTGTCCCGCGTGACGTTCTCGGCCGGCAACTGGCTGGACGCGCCCTGCCCGCCGGGCAAGTACGAGGTGGTGACGGTTTTCAGCGTCACCAAGTGGGTGCACCTGAACTGGGGGGATGAGGGCCTGGTCAAGCTTTTCCAGAAGCTGCACAGGTGAGGCCGGCCGGCCGGCTTTAAAGGTTTTGGCGGGGTTTTGGGTGGACGGCGGGGTCGGGGTGTCGTGCATGTCCTGTGGTTGCGGCACCTCTGGGGGTGTTTCAGCTCATGCACTTGGAATTGATGGCCCTGAGCGCGTGACTGCGATTGTTGTTGGAGTCCTCCTTGACGGGGTTTTGGCGGACCGTCCCAACACTCATGCACACAGCCACATTGCGCCCACATTCAAACGCTTAAACACTCACACACGTGTATGCACCACACTGACACGTACACACAACACGACCTTGGCGCATCACAAGCCAGCCCACATGCACACCACCCCCAGATGCCTGAGCACGCGCGGCCCCCCCCTCCCGCGCCCGCCCCCCAGGTGCCTTGCACCCGGCGGCGTGCTTGTGCTTGAGCCCCAGCCCTGGAAGTCCTACCACAGCGCAGTCCACAAGCAGGACACCTGCAACGTCCCCTTCAGGCGCTACAACGAGCTGCTGAAGATGCGGCCCGAGGGCTTCGCGCAATACCTGACGTCCCAGGTGGGATTCGAACTGGTGGCTGAGCTGAGCGCGGCGGGCGGCGG